GGTAGAGTGATTTCACCAGAATCCTTGCACTCTGTAATCTCATGGGTTTGCCATCTGGGTTAACAAACAAGCCCAGTAAGGCCTGAAAATTCTTCAACAAATTCTCTTCTGATTGCACTAGAGATCACAGCTAGTAAAAGTGTTATGAAGCAAGAGATTATCATCCTGTAGTCTATCCTTAGGGAGCTCTGCAAGCCTGAAGGCACATTGTTCGAGGCCACCAGCTGTTCTGTAGAAAGACGGGCAATCTCTTCCAGAACAATTAATTGCCTCTGAAAATCCCTGGAGAGTGAGCAATGGGTCAGTTCTGACTCTATGGTACACAACAACAAACAAGTCTATCTTTAAAGCGATTAAGATATATTATATGATTGATACAGTAACTGGATTAAAGAGATAACAAGTAAATGGCATAACGTGTCAAAGACAGCCAGATTGGCTCAGGATAGAGCAGAATCCAGAGCTATCATGCATAAGGTTACTATGAGTCTTAGTCGACCTGACGACACATAACAACAATAATGTGCTTTAAGCTATGCTTCTAACCCCAAAGTTGGTGGTTCAAAAATCTACCAACTGCTTCAAAGAAGAAAGATGGAGAATCTCCTCTTATCAAAAGTTATAGCCTAGAAAACCTGATGGAGGGTCCCTAAGAACAAGAATTACTATGGACTCACCAGCACTGAGTTTGGTTTTTTGTTCTTTAATCTATCCATTAGTCCATGGTGTCAGCAAAAATTGAGAAAAGGTGGCTATCAGTGACAGATGAATGGTGAGTGACAGAACTAATTCGACATTGCCAACACTGTAAACAGGAGGTCTGGGGATCCAGAGGGCAAGGAGTTGCACTGCCAATCCAAAAGGACAGCATTAGAATCCACCAATTGCTCCAAGGTAGAAAGATGGGCAGTCTCCTCCTGTGCAATTTACAGCTTGTGAAAACCCACTATAAGGTCAACTCTGAGTTAATTCCAACATCACTACAATAAGAGACAGAGACAGAGCAAAAACATACAACCTACAAATCTTCTTACTTAATCATCCACAGAGCAATGACAAGTTCAAAGGAAGGTTTCCAGGGTCTCAGAGGGTCCAAGAAGAGTTGTCCATATCCCCCCGCCCCTTTGAAGTCAGTGCTGGGGATTTTATGGTGATTGTGGAATGCTCCTCCCCTCCTAGCAGGAGGAGATGACCACAAAACAGACACATCACTACCATGTAGAGAGCTGAACAGAAAGATGATAAGACAGTAGACAGTAGGCCTTCACAGAGCCTGAAAATCTATCTTGTATTGTTGTTATTAAGTGCCATTGAGTCAAGTATGAGTCATAGCAATCCTATGAACAACAAATCTGAACCCTGGCCTATCCTGTACCGTCTTCGCACTTCCTGGCACACAGGAGCCCATTGTAGCAGTCACCATGTCAATCCACCTGCTGAAGGGTCTTCCTCTACTTTGCCAATTCAAAGAATAGTCCCTCCTAGCAACATGCCCAAAGTATGTAAGACAAAGCCTCATCATCCTTGCTTCCAAACAGCACTCTGCTGCACCGTCTCCAAGACGTTTGTTGTTCTTTTAGCTATCCATGGCATGTTCAGTCTCTTCTCCAACACCGCGGCTCAAAGGCACCAATTCTTTTTCTGTCATCCTAATTCATTGTCCAGTTTTCAGATGCATAGCAAGTGATTTGAAACATCATGGCTTGAATCAGATGCACCTGAGTCCTCAAACTGACACCATTACTCCTCAATAATTTGGAGAGTTCCTTAAAAGCAGACTTCCTCAGTCCTAGCTTAGAGGAATTATGGGCAAGCTTGCTGGAGAAAGCAAAACCTAACAACATGGTTATAAGAAGGGTCTTCACTTTCTATTTCCAAGTGATTTCATGCATATACTTAACTAGAGCCATTTCTAGCAGATGTTAGAGTGGCTATTTCTTGTTTTGCCTGCCAACCTTGCTTTCTTCTAAAAGAATCAATCCTTCTTTCCTGGGAATAATTACCTTTCAATGCTCCATTCCAAAGATGTGGTTTACCTAGTTCTTATAATTCATTGATGGATCCAAAGTGAGTCCATCCAGCTTCTTGCTCAGAACTTTGAAAAATGGGTCTAATAAAGAAGGACACTTGTTTTATAATGTTAAAGTCAGAATATAAGAGGCTTGGGGTCATTTAAGGATGATATTCATATGGAAGATGCTGGTCTTTGGTTGGGTGGATTAATGCTAACACACCAAGGAACACAGTGACATAGAAAAGGATATGGAATTTGGTAGTATTTAAGACTCTGATTAGTGAGTCCTAATTATAATTAGTCCTGTGAGGCATAGTTATAATATTCTATGCATCAGAGATCTGGGCAATGAATAAGAACAACAAAAGAAGAATCCCTTCAAGTTGTGGTGCTGGAGAAGAGTATTGAACATACCATGGACTTCAAAGAAAACAAACAGATCTGTGCTGGAGAGGGTGAAACCAAGCTGCTCCTTGGAGGTAAAGACTTTGAAGCTCCTTCTCATATACTTTGTGGCCAGGAAGGATCTGTCCTTGGAAAAGGACAACATGCTTGGAAAGGTGGAGGGACAGCACAGAAGAGGAAGACACCAGATGAGATGGATTGGCAAAGTAACTGGGGTAATGAAGGTAGATGTATCAGAAACAGTGAGATTGGCTCAGGATAGGACAAGATTCAGAACTATTGTACAAAGGGTCACTATGAGTCACAAGCAACGCAACAGCACATAACAACAATTCCATTACTATGTGAAATGCTATAGTAATTTTCCAGTAAGTCCTTTTTCACTAAAACTAGTGAAGTTCTGTTTCTGTCAGTTGTAACCAAGAGTCTACCTCACAATAGCAGTGACTTCTTAATATTTCATCCTTAAAATGACATACTCTCCCTTCATGAGAAGACTACTCAACTTCAATAAGATTCCAGTTGCTTCTTATTCTGTCTCACTGTTGAAAGCATGGCCAATGCTCTTTCATCTGCATTAACTACGTTTCTAATCTGCTCCATAACCATTATTGTTAGGCACCGTCAGTAGATTCTGACTCATGGCAACCTTACAAATAACAGAAAAACACACTGCCCAGTGCTCTCTCTTCATGACCATGCAGTTTGGGTTCACTGCGGTGACTACTGTATAAATACATTTCGTGGAGTGGTCCTTCATTTTTACGGGTCCTCTTCTTTCCTAAGCTCCGTAAGAGCCAGTCTTCATTTGAAAGTACATTAAAATGCTGTCTAGTAAGAGTTACCTCCAGAGAATCCAAATGGGTGGCTTGTATTGAGTGGAGTTGAGTTGAGTTGAGTTGGGCTGAGCTGGTATCTACGAATCTGTTTTCTCAATGTATAAATAACCTGGTTGGTTCTAATGCATACCTGGGTGATGGCATCCCTATTTACTAGATGACTTCTAACATCCATCAGCCCAAAGTTTAAGGGCCAAAATTAACTACTCAATCTCTACCCAATGCCAGAACACCCTTCAGTATAGGTGTTTTTTTTTTCCTTTGGTTTTTTTTTTAAAAAAAAAGGCAGAATTTAGGGAGCATGGCAGTGCACCATGGCATCTTCAAGCTGCTCATACAACTACATAGATTACTTCATCACCCCAGCAGGCGTTTCCTGGGAAGGTCTGCCCCTTTCACAAGCTGCCTTTCCTTCCTGCTGGAGAGGGCAGTTGGAGAGGTAATTAATTTCCTTATAGTCTAGGGTTACATCACTGGCCTGTATAACTTTTCCTATAAAGCATCTTTCAAAAAGCAGCTAAACTGGAAGGAGTTGAGCATGGTAACCTCAGTGGTAGAAATGGAGTTTAATTGCAGGGGTTTTTTAGTTTGGTTTGTGGTCGTCTCCCCCCCCCCCCAAATCCATCAAATAAAGTCACTTTGAAGTAATAAAACAGCTCTCTAGTCTACTGAGAAGGGACAAGCATCTGAAAGCAGCTATTTTCTGAAGGTGTGTGCCAGGTAGGAGAGGGAATTTGGGGGTTGGAGGATGAGTCAAATATAGTAACCTCCTTCTTGACACTTGTCCTCTTCAGTCACAAAGGTTTCCGCAGTGGCTGAGGGGGGCCCATGTAGAAAATGTTCAAAGACTCTGGGATATCTTAATTGTAATTTGAATGAAAATTTACAAAACCGGTTGGTTCTTGGATTTTTAGAGTGCTGTCTCACATTTGGCATAGGACAGAAGTTGCCTCAAGCCATTACCATAAACGAACATTTATGCACTCAAAGTGGAATGTTATGATATTTTCTTTTCCTTGAGCTGTGGAATATGGGTGAGCAACTCAGAGAGTCGTCGAACGATTTGGATAAAAAGAACTTGGGCTTTTGCCAAGAGCACCCCGCATTCTAACACTGAGTTGCTGTTTCTGTGTCTTCTGTTTCCATCCTCCCTTCTATCCATGCATCCATTCCCCAACCCTTTTCAATGAGTGCCCTAAATGGTGACAAACTCGCATGTGCTTCTCTTATGACTAAGCTCCTGGGCCTCTCGCCAACCCCGCACAGATGGCCCCCAACTCTGAGTGCCCTGTGAAGAGCCCGCGGCCGCAGGCCTGGTGGGAACCGCCTGGGCGGAGGAGTGTGCAGGGAGTGGTGGTGTCTCTGTCCTGGGGGAAGGCAAAGCCGCTTCCAGGAGGAAACGGGCGTTTCCTTCCCACGCGCTCGAGCGGGCCCTGGGGCCGGCCCCGGGACTCCACCCAGCCCCTCCCCGAGCCCTGGGAAAAGCCATCGCCACACACAGGCACACACAGGCCCCAGTGCCGCGCCCCTAGGAGAGCAGCACCCAGGCCAATTGCCATGGTAACCCCGAGGCCCGTTCCACTTCCCCACCCCGCCGATCCCCCTCCTCCTGGCGCCGCAGCCAACCGGCTTGTGCGCGTCCCTGGAGCGCGCTATAAAACTTGCGCTGTGGCGCTGGCGGAGCTGCAGGGACACCGGCGCCCTGGGTCCGGTTTCTGTAAGAGCGCACAGAGATCGCGAGCATGCCGAGCGGGCAGAGCCCGAGCCCCGGGCAGAGTCAGCAGCGCCTCTGCCTGGCCTTCCTGCTCCTCCAACTCCTGGGCCAGGTAAGGCACGCGCCCCAGGACCCGGGTCCTTCCTCCAGGCACATCCCCTGGTGCCTCCACCCTCTGTGGTCCCAACGAGTGTGGCTCATTCTCATCCTGCCCGCCCACAGGTAGCCTCGGCTCAGCAGTGTCCCTCACCGTGCCCGGCCCGGTGCCCCTCTGCGCCGCCGTCCTGCGCCCCCGGGGTGCCCGCGGTGCTGGACGGCTGCTCATGCTGTCTGGTGTGCGCCCGCCAGCGCGGGGAGAGCTGCTCGGAGCTGGAGCCCTGTGAGGAGAGCAGCGGCCTCTACTGCGACCGCAGCGCTGATCCCCGCACCCAAACTGGCATCTGCATGGGTAAAGCAGCCCCCTGGACATCTGGCCCCTTCTCCCGGGGCGCACTTGCCAGGGCTGCCTCTCTTCACCTCTGACCCCCACAGCCCAGCGAGTGAACAAGTGAACAGTGATAGTGGGTGATGGCTTTGGAGCTGGGCAGAGTTTGGGGGTGCACAAAGCTTTGGGGAGTGCCACGAGTGAGAGAAGAAACGTATCCAAAGAGGTCAAAAGCATTCAACACTGGCCTTCCAAGAGGAGAATCTAGATGCATGGGGAGCGAAGCCCAGTTAAGCGCAAGTGAAGTCATTTCCTTTGGTATTTCCAGGGACACATTTAGGGGGATGGAAGAGCAGGCTTGCTCATACCCACACAGCGCCCCAGTGCTGTCCAGCGAATTTGTTTTCACACCTGTAATCGCCCCGTTTGAGCCAAAGAATCGCTAGTTCACTGCACTGGGACAACCTTGTAATCCTTGCCGGAATGGCAGTGAGTAGAGGGGGAAATGCAGGCGGCTGGTTAATGTAGCTAGGCTGCTGAATTTCAATCGGTCAGAGGTGAAGTGTCCACCGGTGTTCTCACTGAGGGTAAGGAGCTGGCCCTACCTCTGCCCGTGGGGCTTGGGAAAGCCCTTACTTTTTCATTTCAGCCAGTATTGATTTATTTACTCCAATTGGATGCCAAGGAATCCCAATAATCTTCCCAATGTGAGCAGCTAACCTATTCGGCGACTGGAAAGCATAACACCTCACCTCCCTTTTTCATTCTGTGCTCTGGAGCAGGAATAGAAAAAGGTTCTTGCAACATGGCTTTCTGACCAGAAAGGATAGTTATGAAGCTTTGGCATCTCACTTTGTCACCTGTAAAATGCCAGTTAGGGTACGGTGGTCAGGAAGGTTTCTTCAGACTGCAAAGCGCCCCCATGAACACAGCTCTATTGGAGAAGGATAAGAAACCTGGCCATTTGAGCTGGGAAAGAGGGACTCAGTGTGAACTTCTCTGCCAATCCTACCCAGCCTCCTTAATGCACCATATCCCTCTTACCTCCCTCTCCCTCCTCTCCCCTCTGCTTCTCCAATACTCTAGTGCTAGAAGGAGACAATTGTGTGTTCGATGGGGTCATTTACCGCAGTGGGGAGACCTTCCAGCCCAGTTGCAAATATCAGTGCACCTGCAGAGACGGGCAGATCGGCTGTGTGCCTCGCTGCAACCACGACCTGCTGCTGCCCCGGCCTGACTGCCCAGCGCCAAGGAAAGTGGAGGTGCCCGGGGAATGCTGCGAAAAGTGGATCTGTGACCCGGATGAGGAAGAGGGCTTGGGAGGCCTTGCCCTACCAGGTGAGAGAGAAACTCCCTTGTCCAGGGAGTTGGTCACAGCACGGGGACTTCCTCCCAAAGGCCCTTCTCCCCTTAGGGATTTGAGTAAGAACATTTGCCTCCAGTTTCTGGTCATTCCAGATTGCCCACTGAGAATGAGAGAAGTTATTAAAGTACAAACACAAGTCCTTCTAAAGTTGTTGTCATTAGTCCAGTCAGCTCAAAGTCAACCTGTATGTAACAGAGTGCAGCATTGCCCTGTCCTCTGAACCTTCGTTGCCATCAGTGCATTTGAGCCTATTGTTTTGACTGTTCCTTCTAAAGAGGATCTTCCTAATGGAGCAGTGAGACTGTACTTGTCTTATTGGACAACTATTATCTGATTTTTTAAATCAATAACCAATCCATGTTGACTCTTAGAAGTATTGCAGCGACAAGAGTGAAAACTGCCTTGTATTTACTAATTGCATATATGACCCAAAGGAGCCTTGGTGGCTGAGTGATGAAGCACTAGGCCACTAACCAAAAGGTCATCAGTTCAAATACACTACTACATCCTCACAAACTCAGCTTCCAGAAGGATGTCACGCACCCTGACAGGATGTCACTCACCCAAACAGGTGTCACAGAGGAATGGCACTCTTCCAGATCTGGCAGGAAGAGACAACAGTTTTTGGTTTTCTTTCTAATAATAATATTAAGGAATAATATCCAGATATTTTGGAACATGGGAAATTGTCTAGCTTGAAATGAACTCACCATCAGGTCTCAACTTTCCTTCAGACAATAGACATGCTATGCTTAATAGGAGGTGAACCACCACCGCCCCAGGAAGCATGCACTCCTTAGAACAATCAACCATACGTAACAAAAGGGGAGCATTTACCCAGGGAGAAAGCTCAAAATGCAGGTGGGAGGGGAACGAAGGAGAAATGGGAACAGTAAACACAGAGAAGAAGGTGAAGGGTACTATTACCTAGCAGCAATCACCATCAGTGTCACAAAATAAAATTGTGCAAACCTGTTGAACAGAAAACCAGTTTGCTTTGTAAATTTTCACCCAGATCATAATTTTTAAAAAAAATAAATCCTCAGGAGTTGATCTGCCAATGAGAAGCCAATGATCAGTCAGATCACTTATGCTGTCTATGAGTTGTGTTTATTTCCTGGTTAAATCCTTAGCCGATAACCAAAAGGTTGGCAGTTCAACTCCATGGGGAAGTGCCTCAGAAGAAAAGCCTGGTAATCTATTTATGAAATATCACAGCACTGGAACCTGGCGGAGCACTGATGTGCTATGATTCACATGGGGTCACCAGCAGTCAGTCAAACCTGCTGGAGTACATTCTCCTCTGGCTCACATAGGGTCAACCTACTGCATAATTACTGGGGATGCTTTGTTTGAATTACTCAACTTCCATAGATTTTCTGCCATCAGAAATTATTAATCTGGCCTTAAAAGATAAGAAATACTACCTTAAATAAAATATCTTCATATATCTTATATATTCGATATATTAATATATTGAATATATAATAATATTAATATAATCAATATTTAATAAATATATTAAATATTATATATCTTAAAATATAAGAAATACTACCTTAAAATACAGCCTTAAAAAATAAAAAATACAAAACCAAAAAATAAAAATTTAAAAGAGAAAAAAGTATGAAATAGAGCCTTAAAAAAATAGGAAATACCACCACTCCTTGCAGACAAGGAGATGTATTCCAGATCATGCCTATTAGGTATGACAACAGACCCTTTTGCAAGGTCCAGGTCTCCATCTCCTGAAGTAAATGACCACTTCTACTGCCTAAAAGCGAAGTACAGTTTTTGTCACAAACTTGAAATTTTACCATAATCCATTTTATGTATAAACTGTTGTTTAAAGGGTAGTTCTTGGATACTTTAATGTCCCCTATTCTTAAAACCAGGAGACTTCTTAAAGATAGGTTCTTTTAAGCTTCCTAATGATATGTTGGCAGCTCTTGTGGCCTAGTGGTAAGAAGCTGCACTGTCCACTCAAAGGCATGCTGTTTAAATCCACCAGGTGCTCTGCAGGAGAAGGATGGACAGTCTCCGCCCATGCAGTTCACTGCGTCTGTAAACCCACTGGAGGGTCAGCTGTTGTGTCGGTTTTGACTCAATGTTACATGACAATGATATGTTGTACAGTCCAGGCACTAAGATTTCCTGAAAGCCTACAGTGGGTCAGGGCTGTGACACCTGCTGGTGGCATTTTTTATTGCTGTTAAGTCCACTCTGACTTACGGCTACAACAGAATAAAATCTTGCCCTGGGGAGCAACAACATCATTGAGTCTTCTCCCCTAACCTGTTACCACTGAGCTGCTTCCTGTTCATAGCCATGCAATAACTAACAACTGCAGTACTTTCTCCAGCCCAGAACTCGATGGTCATCTGCTTTCCATTCTCGGAGCAAGTTGGCTTAAGTCCATTGCTGTGGCCACTGTGTGTTTTGAGAGCCTACTGACCTGTGGAGCTCACCATGCACTGCTGTAGTGGACAATATGCTGGTAGAATTCATAGCTCTGTCCCTGGCTAATCTTTGGACATCAATCACTAGTTCTTTCTTTCAAAGTCTGTCTTAGCCCGGAAGCTTTCCTGAAACTCTGTCCACCATGAGTGACCCTGCCAGTATTTGAAACACTGGTGGCATCACTTCCAGGGCCATAACAATACACAACCCCAAACAAAGCACAAACTCCCAGGTCAGTCTTTGTTACCTGATATGGCTTGGTAAAGAAAGAGGTCCAGTTCGACCCTCCTGGAAGGTCCTACTTAGCAGGTACAGGAACAGGATAAAACTTCCTTTCTAACAAAGATTAAAAGGACCACGTTGTGATGGCTATGTTTCATTCACTAGAGCTGTCTTAACTTCTGCATCCCACAGCCTACAGGCCAGAAGCCACCCTTGGAGTTGAAGTCTCTGACTCAAGTATCAACTGCATTGAACAGACCACAGAGTGGAGCGCTTGCTCCCGGAGCTGCGGCATGGGCTTTTCCACTCGGGTCACCAACAGGAATCGGCAATGTGAAATGGTGAAGGAGACCCAGCTCTGTATGGTGCGGCCCTGCGAACAAGAGCCAGAGCCCCCCACGGAGAAGGTAGGGGCCCTACACAGAGACATCACCCGCAGAGGGGGAAGGGCCCCCTACACAGAGGCTTCACCCGCAGAGGGGATAGGGCCCCCTACACAGAGGCTTCACCCGCAGAGGGGATAGGGCACCCTACACAGAGGTTTCACCCACAGAGAAGGTAGGGCACCCTCAGAAGCCCAGCATCACAGGGCACTTGGTTTACATCATTGGGCCTGGGCTTCAGAACATCATCGTGATGGTGGCTTTTTCAGAGGTCACCTGTGGCAGGGAATTCAATTCACCCCAGAGAGAAAGCACAGAGAACTCGCCTCCAGCCTGAGCAAATTTACGCCATGTTTCCCTTTAATGCTTTGTAATGTATTCACTCATACCATCCAGAAGCGATAGAAGCCATACAACTAGAACGCCCATTGCCATTGAATTGATAACTTCAAAACCATCCCATACAGCCGTTATACTTTGTCCAATTCAGAACTCTCCAGACATCCCCATTGCATTCCTGCAGTTGGCTACAGAGCCGTCACATACAAATGATTTCAGAACGGCCAGCTCTGAGCTCAGTTCCCCTGACTCTTCAGGGTTCATTCCTGTAGAGAACAACAGGATTTCGACCATGGCTGTCCGCTCCACCCTTCACTATCCTACAACCTACCCAGTACACCCTGGTGCTTGACAAACAAATGTTGGTGAATGAAAATCTGGGAATTCATTTCAGGACTTTTAGAGGCCTAGAGGAAACAGTACATTTGCCAGGATAAAGCTCTCTGGGCCAAATTAAACACTGTGTTTCTTTTCTTGTTAGATGGCATTTTATCAGTTCTGTTAATGCTGAGTATAAGACATGCTGATCAGAAGCACTAATTGGCTCTTGATGATATCACCAACTTTGTTACCAGAGTCCCATGTCACATAAATGCAGCATCCAAGAAGAACTGTAATGTGCACCCTTGCATAAGCCTAAGCTTCAAAATAAAGCAGACTCCAGCCATAAAGCACTTACATATCTCTAGACTGAGGCAATACCATCTAATGCTTAAGGGTGCAAACTCTGGAGTCAGACAGGCTGGCTACAAATCCGGGTTTAACCTCTGGGCCTCAATTCCGTCCTCTGGGTAATAGCTCCGTTGCTAGTCTCTAACCCAAGGTGGTTGTGAGGATTAAGTGGAATGAATTTGCAAGATACTCGGCATGTACTCAGCACTTGTTAGCATTAGCTAGCCTTACGGTTTCTACCTATTAGTGAAATGAAAGACATCTCTGCTAGTTGTGCTAATCAGATCACTGCTGAGCTGTACTTGGGAAGGTAAAGGACAATAGAAATCTGTGGCAAATTTGCAGATGAAGAAACAATTCTTTCTTTCGTCAATTCTCAATAATGGATTTCTTCATTATTAATGTTGCTGTGTACCGTCAAGTCAGAACCTACCCCTAGCTCACCCTCCAGTGAATTTTCAGAGGCAGTTAATCACACACGAAGAGATTGCCCATCTTTCTCTCATGAAGCAGCTGATGGATTCAAACTTCGCGCCTTTGGGGTTGCACCACCACTTCTTACCACTAGGCCACAAGAGCTATCTTGTTAGTAGTAGAAACTTTAATAAATCCCAGATTTGCTTCCCCTTTATAGAAAACAGCCCTGCATCTCATCATTTCCTGTAGTGCTGCAGTCAGATAACTTCAAAGACTAGGTACTTGCTTATCCCTTTAGCCTTTTAAGCTTCCGTTCCTTCATTTGTAAAACTTGGCCAGTAATCCTATACTGAGGGTGGGCAGAGATGGCCCTCTGATCAGCCCCCATGTGCGTCCCTAACCTCATGCCTGCTGCTTGGTGTCTCGACCTGCTTGAGTCCCTATTCCCCCACCAAATCTCCACAGCTTCAGAACGGGGATCATACCTGCTTTCATCTTCAGCACCTGGTACAGGGCTTGCATGGTAATTGTTCTTGGATGAGTGAATACTGTTAATAAGGATGGAGAAGGTTGCTGTCAGGAAGTATTTGAGACATTGCAGGTCTGCTACAACTATTGTTGTTGTTATGTGCCATCAAGTTGCTTGAGACTCATACAATAGCTTGGAACCCTGCTCTATCCTGTACCAACCATATCATCTCTGGCACACCTGTGTCCGTTACCCAAGTCACTAAGTCATTCCATCTCAGTGAGGGTCTTCCTCTCCTGCACTGTCTTCCAAGGCTTACATTCTCTTTCTCTGTATAACACCTAAGGGTACACTTGGCTAAAAAGAACACCAAAACACTTGAGAATAATTTTTCAAATGATAGAATTTCTTTATCACCCTCATGTCTGTCACCTTGAGGTCCAAAGATGGCCGTGGCATCATCACCTCATGTGGTCGCAGCAGGTGTGGTGTCCACAGTCCAAGCAGAAAGGAAGCAGATGCAGGAAGCACACATGAACTTGTAGGAAAGACAGAGGAGTTCCAAGAATCCATTAGTTTACTGGCTAGAGCTTTGTCACAAGGCTGTCCCAAGTTCACAGATAATCAGGGGAAACAAATGCTTTGAACTGAACACATTTACCAAATTTTGCATTCTGTTAGCAAAGAGGAGCAGTGGGAACTGGATAGGCATCTAGAAGGTGTTTGCATGCTCCCAGATTATTCCTTAGGGAGTGCTGGTGACCTTGTTATGCTGCCAACGCAAAGGCAGCTGGTTCGAATACATCAGTTTCTCCAAGGAAGTAAGATGGTCAGATTGCCACCATGCAACTCGTAGCCCCTGAAAACCTACTGGAGGGTCAGCTATGAGTCAGTTCCTTCCAAAAACAGTAGACGTTCCACGTTTGCTCTTGTTTCTTTCCTAGAAAGGGAAGAAGTGTCTCCGCACCAAGAAGTCGCTCAAAGCCGTCCACCTGCAGTTCAAGAACTGCACCAGCCTGCACACCTACAAGCCCAGGTTCTGCGGGGTCTGCAGCGATGGCCGGTGCTGCACCCCCCACAACACCAAAACCATCCAGGTGGAGTTCCGGTGCTCCCCAGGACAAATCGTCAGGAAACCAGTGATGGTCATCGGGACCTGTGCCTGTCACACCAACTGTCCACAGAACAACGAAGCTTTCCTCCAGGATCTAGAGCCCAACACCAGCAGAGGAGAGATGTAACAAGCGTCCCTGCGAAGTCCACCTGCAGAGGCCAAGTGTAGCTACTGCGTGGCCCACCACCACATGATCAGAGGGAAAAGAATCAAGTCTTGGTTTCATCCCCGAGTCTTATGCATCATGTTTTCCGCAGTTCATTTGAGGTCATTTATACCTGTGTTTTGGGGTCCTTCTGATCTAAGAGATGATTAACTGTAAACTTAGAAGTAAGCTCAGGATATAGTTTCGGAATGACTTCCACGTAGGTGGTAATTTTTACAAATGCAAATGTCTATGAATTTAAGAAAACCAGATATATGTTTTACTTTCTAGAGTATATCACATTACACTCATCTTATATCATGTAGACTAGTTTGATCCCAAGCAAATATCACTGTAGTGGATGGCACAGCGGAGGTGAAGGTCACACTGACCATACTTGCATATGACTGTTTCACCTCATGTTATAGTTCATTGATTGGAGGGTTCTCGATTGAGAGATTCAGATTCCACATGGTTAGCTCATCTCTGAACTTTCAAGTTCAAGATCTTCAACTTGAAATCCAAAGACTATGATGTGTTTTGTATACTAACAATTATACTGTATCTGCAGTAAAGAAGTATTTCATAATTAAGTGGACTGATGTCACAAACTACAAAATTGACACCTTTCCAACAGAAAGAAGCAGAGAGATCTCCTACATACAGAAATGATAGCACCCTAGCATTCTCTGTCTTGGAGGTGCTGGGATTTACTTGGTTTGGTTTTGGTTTTGGTTGGTTGGTTGTTTAAATTCTGCAGACAATACAAACTCAACCCTCTGCCAACTGAGTAGATTCTGACTCATAGTGACCCTCTATCCAATTTTCAAGGCTGTGAGTGGAAACTGCCCAACTTTCTCAAGGGGCATCTGGTAGAGTCAAACTGATGACCTTTCGTTTGCAATGAAACTGCTACATTACCAGAGCTCCTTTATGCAATAGAAGCATAGCATGTCAGCAGGAATCTTTTCAATTTTCTGATGAGTAAACTGAAGCCCAAAGCTCTTCAAAGAATAAATATTTTAAGCTGTAATGACTTCTAATTATGTGTTCTAGTGAACTTTTGAATAAGAACAAAAATCAGCAATTAGAGTAAAAATAGCACAAATTTGATGGAAATTTAGAATCATCATAGACATGCCCAAAACTCAGCTGTGGGTCATAGTTACAAAAACTCACAAACATGATATATGTGTATAGAGACACGTATCTAATTTGTCAGGACACAGCATAGACCGCAGAATTGCATCTGTACATTTTTTTAATGTCATCGTGAATATATTTATGTAAATTAAATTGTACATTTTGTAAAATACTCTTTTTCATTTCACTTACCTGTCAGACAGCACCAAATAAACTTGATGTTATTCGTGTAAAACTCAGCTATGGCTTTGTGCTACTAAGTTTTACATTATATTTTATAGAAAATAAAGAATCACATGTTAAATCGGATAGCAGTCAATGTTGAGTAGAAGCAAAATGATGAGATTTCTCTTACTCATTGCCTTCAAGTTGAAACCGACTCATAACTGACTCTCCAACAGATTTTCCAAGGCCCATCTCTCTTGCATGGAGGGGCTGGTGGACAGGAGTACTGAATATCCTATGGACTACCAAAAGAATAAACAAGAATGTCTGGAGAAAGTGTCACCAGGGTATTCCTTAGAAGGGAAGATAACAAAACTTCTCACATACTTTGGGCATGTTGCTAAGAAGGGCCAGTCCCTAGAAATGGACATCATGCTTGGTAGGCTGTAGGGTCAAGGCACCTCAGCCTAGACTTGAACTTCCAACTTTTCACTTAGCAGCCACATGTAGTAACCATCTGTGCCACACAGGGATATCTGACTAAACACTTCTGTTTATTAAAAGTTTTGTGTTTTGGTTTTTTTTTTAACTTACCGATCAAAGCCAAACTGACCTCCTTGGTTTCCTTTACTCATTCAAGAGCTTTCCATCTTTCCAATCATACAGTTTAAACCATCAGCATCTTGACTAGCCTTCTCTTGCTACTTGCTCAGAAAAGCGTATTTCTGTGGATGATACAGGAAAGAGAGTGTCCGAGCAGTTGTTGTTATGTGTCCTTGAGTCAAATATGACTCATAGCGACTCTTTAAACAGATCTGATTACTGTCCTGTCCCGTGCCATCCTCAATCTCTGACACACTTGAGCCCAATGCTGCAGCTACTGTGTCAATCCACCTGGCTGACGGTCTTCACCTCTTTCGCTGTCCCTCCACCTTCCCAGGCTTCATGTCTCTTTCCAAATAGTCTCTCCTAGAAACATGCCAAAGTATGTGAGATAAAGCTTTATCATCTTTGATTCCAAGGAGCACTCTAGCTGCATCTTCTCCAAGACATAATTGTTCTTTGAGCAGTTTAGAACTCTTCTCCAACACCACAGTTCACAGACGTCAATTCTTCTGTCACCCCTACTCATTTTCCAGCTCTCAGATGCATAGCAAATGATTGAGAAGAACGTGGTCTGAATCAGGCACAGCTTAGTCTTCAAACTAATATCATTACTCCTCAATAATTTGGAGAGAGTCCTGACTACAGACTTCCGCAGTACAATACATCTCCTGATGTCCTGACTGCTGTTTCCAAGTGTATTGATTGTAGATCTAAGTAAGGTGATGTTGTTGACAATTTCAATCTTTTCTCCATCTGAATATTAGAGTCTTAATTAATATCAGTTCAGTTCTGAAGGCTGGGTTGACTGACTTAGTGTGGGTTTAAAGTGTTATTAAAAAGGAAAAAGCTTTCTGTTCCAACCTTCACTCCCTCTGCAACCTCATTCCGTTCCATCTCTCTTTATTTCATTTCTGTCTATCCTTTAAGGAAGCCCAGAAAGCAAATTTTCCTCCCAGGGATTTAATACCAAGGAAACTCTTAAGACTGGCTGACATTCTTCACATACTTCCTTTGCCCTGAGCATACTACCTGCAGGATATTGTTTCATTTTCACAGTATCCTCGGAAGGAGGCACTCCTCGTGCTCTCATTTCTAAAATGAGGGAGCTAGTTCTAAATGAGAATCTTAAAGAGTAAAAAGAACATGGTGAATCTAAAATGTAACCATTTTTGCTTCTTCCTTTAAGCTACTCCATGGACTTGTGCAAGGGTCATGCACTGCCTGACTCAATGTTGTGCATAATTGTCAAACATTCAAATTGTTCAAGGTCCAAAAATAAGTTGTTGCTATTCTTAGCTCCTGACCCAAGTCAGGTAGTGTTATATTGTTAGATCCCCATACTGGGGTGTGTGTATAGATAAATATAGGGTCCTGATGGCAACAAGGAGTTACACTGCTAACCTAACATCAGGTGTTCAAATCCACCAGCTATACCACAGGAGAAAGAGGGGCAATTTCCTCCTGTGCAGTTTTCTTCCTCTAAAAAACCTGCAGGCAGGTCATTTATGACTTGATTCCAATTCAATGGTTTATAATCATAACAACATACATACATACATACATAAACATACCCTAAGTTTTCTACACTGACATTTACAAAGTTTATAGACAGAAGGGAAAATAAGACTGAATACAATTACCTCTTCAAGAATGACTCTTCTCCTGCCCCTACCCACACATACTAAGTTAACTGTTCCTTCTAGGACCTGGAACATTTATTTAATGCATCCATCTACTTTGTCTATTTAGCAGACGTGTACCAACTGCCCCCGTGTTTCTAGCCTTGTTTTATGTCCTGAGAATGCAGGTGGGAAGAAAACAAAGGGCCTGTTCTCCCTCGAAGTTACACTCTGTTAGCAAAGGCAGGAAAAAGCAATAAACAAACAAAACAGATAAATATCATCAGGAATAAGCAAACACTCTGAAGATCATCAACACAAGGGAATATAGTAGAGATTTTTTTTTTTCTGGGTCCCTAACATAGCATGAAGTGCCCAGGAAGGTTGTTCCAAGGAGGTGGCATTTTAGTTTAAATCTGAATGACAAAGATTAGGAGAATCAGGCTGCCAGACAGAGGGAGTGCGATAAAAAAAAACCCAGTGTTGGAAATAGACTTGAATCAGTGTGGCTGGAAGCAAGGGGTGCTGGAAGGTGAGAAGTGATTCGCTGGCAGGGGCTGGAGCAGGAGGCTTTGCCTCCAGCATTGTCGTTCCCACACTATTTTAAACTGTTTCTGCAGACTTACTTTACCCAGAGCATCTTGGGGTCATTGTTGAAGTCTCTGTTCTTTCTGTGCAGCTGCCACAGCCCCTGGTGTTAGGTAGGACCTAACTCTATACCTGTTGAATGAATGAAACAACTGTACCTTGACAAAGGGTGGAACATTCTTTCAAATAAATGTCAGACTTTTACACGCTCCTTTGGTTACATCTTTGGAACAACCCCCACCCTGAGACATACATAAACACGCACTCATGCATTCCTGAAATTGTAATTCAAGAAAGTTGGAAAAATATGAGCTGATGAATAAATATTTGCTACGTCCAGAACTTTCTGTAATTCCGCAAGAGAAGCAACATTCACTGAGCAGCTTAGGACAGAGGAAAACACACAGGGTTTAGAGTTTGTTGAAATTAAGTTTGAATATCAGGCCTACTCATATCAGCTGCGACGCGGCAGGCTGGTCACACACACCCCCTGTGAGTCTCAATCTCCACACAGGCGAGCCTGAAACCGATAGGCTGATCCACTGCCCTGATTTGCTCTCAGCTGAGGAGGTCTCTGAGATGAGGGGCTTTCCATTTTAAAACAAAAACAATCCCAGGCAGGGGAGCTAGTGGGTTGTTTTGCTCACCCAAAGGCTTCTCTGTCACTTTGAATTCACCCTCAGAAAAAAAGGTAGTCTCTTCCTCTTGCAATTTACAGCCTCAGAAATGAAGTGAGGGTACTATGTGTCTGAACCGACTGCAGCGAGTGTACTATGAGTCTGAACCGACAGGATGGCAGTGTTTTGACTCCTCAACAAACCACGTTGAACTGATGACCCTAAATTCCAGCCTCATAGTGTT